GCCCAGGAGTTGGAGGTTGCTGTGAGCTGAGATGCCACGGCACTCTACCCAGGGGGACAGCTTGAGGCTCCTGTCTAAAAAAAAAAAAAAAAGAAAGAAAAAGATAAAAACTAGCTGAGTATCTGGCAGACACCTGTAGTCCCAGCTACTGGGGAGGCTGAGACAACAGGATCACTTAAGCCCAAGAGTTTGAGGTTGCTGTGAACAATGAAGTCATGGCAGCCTACTCCGGGTGACAGAGTGAGACTCTGTTTCAAAAAAGGGAAAAAAAAATCTGAAGGCCTTGCCTTGGTTTACAGAACCCTACTTGAGAGAACCTGGCTTTTTCTCTGGCCTCATCCACTCCAGCCTCTCTCCTCCACTCACAGTACTATAGGCACTTGGGTTTTCTTTCTGTTCCTCAGACCATTAAGCTTATTTCCAAAGATAAAGAATTTGGTTTGGGATAGGTTGAGTCTAAGATGGCTGTGAATCATCTAAATGGAGAAATGAAGTAGTAGGTTAGACATATGAGCCTTGGGCTGAGAAGAGTTCTTGGTTGAGGATAGAAATTTGGGACTCACTGAATGAAATACGCAATGGTATGCTGGAGCTGCCCTGTGCAATTTTCTGAGAGGTAACTGCAAATTTTTCACGAGTTCTGGAAACTGTTTTTTTTTTTTTTTTTTTGAGACAGAGTCTCACTTTGTCGCCCTTAGTAGAGTGCTGTGGCATCACAGCTCACAGAAGCCTCCAACTCTTGGGACTTAGGCAATTGTCCTACCTCAGCCTCCCAAGTAGCTGGGACTACAGGCACCCCCCACGACACTTGGCTATTTTTTTATTGCAGTTTGCCCGGGGCTGGGTTTGAACCCACCGCCCTTGGTATATGGGGCCAGTGCCCTACTCACTGAGCCACAGGTGCCACCCGGGAACTGGTTTTAAATAGTCATTTGAAAAATAAAATTGTATGAATGTATAACTTATATTAAAATTTTAATGTAATAATTTATATAATATAAATATATTAAGTATAATTTAATGATATTAAAAACAAGTTATTTCCAGCTCTGGGCCTTTGAACTTGATTTTCTCTTTGCAGAGCTGGCTCTTTCTTATCATGCAGGTCTCAGCTCAGAAGTCTCCTGTTTTGGAAAGTTTTTCCTGATCACCCAAACTGAAATAATATTGTTTGTGCTCAAAAAACTTCTAACAGTTATGGCTCGGTGTCTGTGGCTCCAGTGGCTAAGGCGCCAGCCATATACACCTAAGGTGGCGGGTTCAAATCCAGCCCGGGCCCGCCAAACAACAATGATGGCTGCAACCAAAAAAAAAAAAAAAACAGCCAGGCATTGTGGCGGGCGCCTGTGGTCCCAGCTAGTTGGGAGGCAGAGGCAGGAGACTCACTTGAGCCCAGGAGTTGGAGGTTGCTCTGAGCTGTGATGCCATGGCAGTCTACCCAGGGGGACGGCTTGAGGCTCTGTCTCAAAAAAAAAAAAATAAACTTCTAACAGTTATATTATTTTTTTATAGAACTTAATAGACTGAAAAGATCTTGTTCATAGTGTTCTTGTTTATTGTCTATATCCCTATACTAGTTTATCACCCTCCCCAGAGCAGAGCAGGGGCCCCATTCCTTTTGTGTCTGCTACATTTCTAACACCCATCACCGTGCCTAGCACATAGTGGATGCTCAGTAAATTTTGTTGAGTGGATGAATTAATATAATTTTAATAGTTGTGTTTTAATACCTGGTTCCATGTTATATTAGTTTAAATTATTCACTGAAGGCCAGGCACAGTGGCTCATACCTATAATACTAGAGCTCTGTGGGGGACCAAGGCAGGTGGATTACCTGAGCTGATGGGTTTGAGACCAGCCTGAGCCAGAGCTAGACCCCATCTCTAAAAAATAGCTGGACATTGTGGCTGGCACCTGTAATCCCAGCTACCTGGGAGGCTGAGGCAAGAGGATCATTTGAACCCAAGAGTTTGAGGTTGCTATGAGCTAAGATGCCATGGCACTCTACCAAGGGTGACCAAGTAAGACTCAAAAAAAATTGGGGGGGATGGGTGGAGGGAGGGTGATTGGAAGGATCACTTCTATGGTTTATCTTACAAGGATACAAGTGAATCTTTCTAAGAGTAGAATATAAACATCTTAATGCAATAAATAAGAAAATGACATAAAGGCTATGTTAACCAGTTTGATGAAAATATTTCAAATTGTATATGAAAATACCACACTGTACCCCATGATTGCATTAATTTACACAGCTATCATTTAATTAAAAAATTTTTTTTAAATTAGACAGGCATAGTGGTGTGTGCTTACAGTCCCAGCTACTAATGAGGCTAAGGCAGGAGGATTGCTGAAGCCCAGGAGTTTGGCACTGTAGTGAGCTATGATCATGACATTACACTCCAGCCTGGGTAACAGAACAATACCATGTTTCAAGAGAGGCAGAGAGAGGAAAAAGGAAGAAGGGAGAGGAGAAAGGAAGGAAAAGTAAGAGAAGGAGGGAGGGGAAGAGAAGAAGGAAAGAAAGGAAAGGAAAAAAAGAAAGAAAACTGCCAGGAATACAGAATACAGCCCTAATGTGAAATAGGTGGTGGCATTATTCATGGAGGAAATACTGCATAAGATTTTGGAGAAGAATATAAATAGGCATAGAAGGAAGAGCCAAAGATGCACTTGTTACGCTTCTGCTCTAATTTGTATGCCCATTATTCTATTTTGAAGACAAAAACCTAGGTGGCACCTGTAGCTCAGTCAACAGGGTGCTGGCCACATACACAGAGGGTGGCAGGTTTGAACCCGGCCCTGACAAAATATTCAGGCGTTGTGGCAGGTGCTTGTAGTTCCAGCTACTTGGGAGGCTGAGTCAAGAGAATTGCTGAAGCCCAAGAGTTTGAGTTTACTGTGAGCTGTGACACCACAGTACTCTACCCATGGCAACATAGTGAGACTCTGTCTCAAAAAAAAAAAAAAAACCCACAAGGCAAAGACCTTCCTTGTTTGATTGCAAAGGCAAGAGAGCCTTGAACATTATATTCAGCGTCATACATTATAATGTTTTCATTCTTTTTTTTTTTTT